AGTGCCCCTGTCTGGGCCATCTGGCCAGGCCCCTTCCCGTTTCCCTGAGTGTGGGGTAGAGTGTTCAGGGGGTTTGGGCCGGGAAGTGACTGCAGCCCAGATCTATCAATAGTGCTCAGTCCTCTTTGAAGTAAGCACTGTCACACATTTGGGGTGGCAAGTAATTGTACTTCTGTCGGTCTGGGTGATGGGCTGGGTAGGGATAAACTGAGGTTTCCCCCCCCCCCACCTCTGAATTGCAGCTAAGTCAGCATTGTGTCCTTAAATTGGGTCACCCAGATTGGAAGGTGTGTCCCCATTCAGACATTGGGACGGTCCCTGGAGGCACACCCAGCACAGCCTGCCCTGTGTTCCCTGGGCGGTGGGTGTGGGCTCCTGTCGGTGTGCTTGGTCCAGAAGGCAGAACTTCCCCCATGTGCCTGTAGGTTTCTGTGCAAACACATTTAAGGGTTTTGTTTTGTTTTGTTTTGTTTTTAAAAAAAGATTATTTCTTTTCTCTTTTTAAAATATATTTTATTGACTTCTTACAGAGAGGAAGAGAGAGGGATAGAGAGTTAGAAACATCGATCAGCTGCCTCCTGCACACCCCCCACTGGGGATGTGCCCGCAACCAAGGTACATGCCCTTGACCAGAATCGAACCTGGGATCTTTCAGTCCACAGGCCGACGCTCTATGCACTGAGCCAAACCCGTTTTGGCAAAAGGAGATTATTTCTTCTTCTAGGTTAGAGGGGGTTCTAGTCCCTCTCACTCACGCTCTGGTTAGACCAGCTGCCTCCAGAAAGGCAAAGAAAGTCGAATAGGAACCAATTAGTTTTCCTTCTTGTCATTTAAAAAAACTTCGGAAATAATTTCAGATTTATCATTTACGTTTACCTCCTTTGCTGTATCCCTCGCACATTCTCTCTGTGTGTCTGTATGTGTGAGTTCTGAACCATTAAGAACATAGCAAAACAGCTACCAACTGCAGCTAATGTAAAACTGAGACAGTACCCTCCTTAAACTGCTGTTCGTCTCCGATTTTGTCCGGGGGCCCAGCAGTGCCCTTCACAGCACCCTGCGTTTTTGCTCCCTTGGTTTGTTTGTTTTTTGTTTTGTTTTTAATTTTTATTGTTGAAAGTATTACAGATGCCTCCCCCCCTTTTGTGTGTGTGTGTGTGTGTGTGTGTGTGTGTGTATTTTCCCATTGACCTCCTCCACCATGCCCTGGCTCCTCCCCAGCCTTCACCACACTGTTGTCTGTGTCCTGGGCGATGCATCGCCTCCTACGTAATAAAAGCCTAATATGCAAATTGTCCCCTCGGGCGGCCATTTGCCCAGGAGAGTGACCGGGAGTTCGCTTGCTATGACACGCGCTGACCACCACGGGCTGTCGTGGAACATGGCAGGCGTGGGCGAGGCGTCGCTGGCAGCAGGCGGCCGTGGAGGCACTGAGGAGAGCGGGACCACGGTGGGATGGTGGAGCAGGTGAGCGGGCGGCACCAGGCCGGGCTGCAGGTGCAAGCTGGGGCCCAATCCCTGCAGGCCACCCCAAGGGACTCCACTCGTGCAGGGATCCATACACCGGGGCCTCTAGTATGTGTGTAAGTTCCATGGTTAATTTCTCCCCGTCCACTGCCCTGAGCATCCAACGCACACACCCTTGCTTTCCCTCTGAAATTGGTCAGTCTGTTACATGCTTCTGTGTCTCTGGATCTATTTTAGTCATCAGTTTGTTTTGTTACTTAAGAGTCCACATATGAGTGAGATCATGTGATCCTTGTCTTTCTCTGACTGGCTTGTTTCGCTTGGCACGGTCACTCCCTGCTGCTGCAAATGGTCAGAGTTCCTTTTGTACCGCTGCGTAGTGTTCCGTTTTTTATCCACTCATCTGCTCATGGGCACTGGGCCATTGCCAAGTCTGAGCTATTGCACATTGCACTGTGATGAACACCGGGGTGCATATATCCATTCTGTTGGGTGTTTTGAGACTTCTTAGGATATATTCCCAGAAGTGGGATCACTGAGACAAATGGGAGTTTCATTTTTAGGTTTTTGAGGAAACTCCATACTGTCTTCCACAGTGGTTGCGCCAGTCTGCACTCCCAGCAGCAGTGCACGAGGGCTCCTTTTCCTCTGGATCCTCCTAGCACATGGCGTTTGTTGGTTTGGTGATGGTGGCCATTCTGACAGGTGTGAGGTGACACCACATTGTCGTTTTAATGGGCACATCGTATGATCGGTGACTTTGTTGCTCTCTTGGTTTTTGCTCCTTGTGAGCTTATAGACGTCTTTGCTTGCCTTGCGTCTATCTTACAAAGTTCAGCTTATTCTGGCCATCGCTTTCCTGAAATCATTATTACGGCTTCCTTGTATTCTTCAGTTATTCCTGCTGACTCCGTCTCTTCCTCTCTTCTCTACCCGAACCCTGCCCAGGGTTCCCAGAGATCACACGCCTTGGGAAATGCCCCCACGCAGACACATTGGCTTCTCTCCTCTCTCGGGCATTAGCTGGCATTCGGCTGTGAGAGCCGCATCTAAATAACCCGCAGTCCTAAGTCAAGGGGAAGAACTCGGTTCTGAAGGTTTTCGGGTGTGGCGAAGGGAGCTGATGAGAACCTCAGCGTATGTCTGCATCATCAGCACTGCTCAGCATTAATGTGCACACGCCCCCGGGGAGCCTGTTAAGATGCAGGGTCTGATCCAGAAGGTCTGGCGTGGGCCCGAGAGGCACTGTGAATAGGTTTCTGCAGTGGCCAGCCCTGGAGGAGGTTTCAGACCCGGATGACATAGGTCCCAGGGCACTGACCTCCGTGGTGAGATCGCTCGTCCATAGTTGATGGATTTGAACAAAAGAGAGGTGTCGGGACCATGAAGACGAGATGCAAGTTCTGTGCATTTATTTATTTATTTATTTATTTATTTTTAAGTTGCTAGTAGAGATGCGATCCAGAAATGACAGCCTGGAGTCGGAGAGAAGCCAGTCCCCCGCTCCCTCGCTGGCTGTTACCGACACAAGCACTGCCCTTTGTGTTGGCTTCCTTTTGTTAAGGCGGGGTAACAATGCCCACTTCTCGGGGCTCCGCGGAGGTTATTTACCAGGAGTGCTCCTTGCTCACGGCGTCTGGCACGTGCTGGGTGAGCAGCAAACGGTAGGCGTGTGGCTGAGCCTGGTCCGGAGAGAGCAGGGGACTGGCCGGGGATGGTGAGCACGGCAGGGGATGGTCCTAGGCTGATGACTACCAGCCAGGGGCCTGCCCTGCCCTTTGCTGTTCAGACAGGCTTCTCAGAGAAGAGGAGATGGTAGGGATCCTTCCTAGCTTTCACAGGAATCTGACAAAGCCTCAGCATTTCTTGGTGGACATTGCAAAAAATAAAATAAAAAAATTTAATAATAATAATAAAAACTTGCAGGTTACTTGGAATTGTGCCTGGTAGCACAGATGTACCAGCATGGTAGTGAACGCAGATGGATTCATGAGTGAAGGGGTCCCTGTTGCTTTTGAACTCTTTCAAACACACTTTTTTTTTTTTTTTAATATGTTTTTATTGACTTTTTTTAGAGAGAAAGAGAAGGGAAAGGGATAGAGAGATAGAAACACTTCTCCTTAAAACCTTGGGTGAACACCTAGCTGTGGCCCATACTCCCTTTGGGCTGTTGGCGGGCGCTGTCATGCGGCTGCTCTGTGCTGGGCTTCCCTTGAGGACTGAGGGTGCTCCCTCCCTCTGCCGCCTCCTCTAGGGCTAACCACTGCCCTCCGCCTGCTTGGTCTCTGGCGGGTGCTCCCTTGTCTTTGCTGGGCTCTGCGCCGCTCTCTTGACGATTTCACGTGTAAACATTGCCTGTGTGCTGACCGGCAGTGGTGTGAAGGGGTTGACATCCCCTTTGATGAGCGGAGACGTGCAGAGCCTCCCAGAGCACATGGCCACACAGAGGAGGGCCGACCGAGGGCTGCGCCCGGGGGTGACGCAGCCAGAGCGGGCGTGGCCAGAATGTCACTCTGCTTCCATCCCAAATGCCTGGCATTGGGGGTGCAGCGCAGAGAGCCCGAGTTTGCTGGCCCCTTGCTCAGAAGTGCTCGGAGGAGAGGCCTGCTCACACTGTCCTAGGCCTCGGGGTGTGGCCCGAGTTCTCTCTCTAGCTGTGGGGTGTTAGGGTAGGGAGGAGCATGGTGTGCGCTCAAGGGGTCTCCTGTGGCTACGTGGGCATGTGCACTAATAGCAGGTATGGCTCAGCCGGCGTGGCTCAGTGGTTGAGCATTGACCCATGAAGCAGGAGGTCACAGTTCATTTCTGGTCAAGGCACATGACCAGGCTGTGAGCTCGATCCCTGGTGTGGGGCATGCAGGTAGCAGCCAATTAATGATTCTCTGTCATCATTTATGTTTCTGTTTCTCTATCCTTCTCCCTACATCTCTAACCTTCCTCTCTGAAATCAATAAAGATATATTTTTTTAAAATAGCTATGACCAGGGTCCCCAGTGTCACAGAGTTCCCCAAATGCTGGTACTGACCCCTTAAGCCTAAGTGTCAGATTGCTTTAGCTTTGTTGTTATTAGTCTTTTTAAAAATATTTTTTTATTACTTTCAGAGAGGAAGGGAGAGGGAGACAGAAACATCAGTGATGTAAGAGAATCATCAGTCAGCTGCCTCCTGCACGCCCCCTACTGGAGATCAAACCCGCAACCCGGCATGTGTCCTGACTGGAATCGAACCGTGACCTCCTGGTTCATAGGTTGACGCTCCACCACTGAGCCCCGCTGGTCAGGCAGGAGCTGGAGTTTTGTTGCTTTGAGGCAGCAGGACCTCCGGGCTTCACAGAGCTGCCCTGTACCTGCCTCTCCCCGGCCCTGTGTGGCCAGTGTCGGTACTGGACGTGTGTCTGCTCGGGACACGCCAGCTGTGGTTCTGTCGTGCTGTCGGTGGTTGTGCCTCAGCGTGTCCCGTTGCGTGGCTGCGGGAGGAGAAGGGAGGGAAGAAAACGAAGAAGTCACAGGACCACCTTTATTTTTCCTTCCTAGTACTGAGCATGCTCCACAACCCACTGGGCAGTGTCCTGGGGAAGCCCCCCCTGAGCTTCCTGCCACTGGACCCCCTTGGATGCGACGTGGACAAGTTCCCGGCGCCCTCGGTCAGAGGCGCCCGCATGGACACGAGGCCCATCTTGGACTCCCGCTCCTGCAGCCCCTCGGACTCGGACACCAGTGGCTTCAGCTCCGGATCAGATCACTTCTCAGACTTGATTGTATGTCGCTTGTCGGGGGGTGGGGTGGGAGGGCCAGCGTGCCTGGCAGGGGGCACGTGCCCACTAGGATGCTGGGAGGTATGGAAGCCATTGTGGGCACACACAGAGCTTTCGTCCTCGACAGAATAGGGGGTGCTCTGTACCCCACCACTGGGCGATGCAATTCTCCTGGCCGAGTTCCGTTTCCCGGCCGACACGGGGTCTTCTTTGGCCTCCACACAGCGTCGTGTATGAGCCTTTCTGTATGACAGCTCAGAGTTCTTACGTGGTGGCTTTTAAAATGATGGGCAGGCTCTGTTTTACTGCGCTACCCAGGGGTTGCAATTATTGACAAACGAAGGCAAGACCCTTTACCAGCCACAGAGGGGATGGCTCGCTTCCTTGCAGTGTCTGTAGCCAGACCCGCCGTTCCGCCTGGGTGTGCCCGTCGCTGGCAGGGCCAGGGTTTAACCCAGACCTGGCTGCCCGGCTCCTAAAGCCTTTCCTGAGCTGCGTCGGCTCTCCATCGGGGGTCGCTGTGCACCTCAGAAGTGCTGCCCAGCGTTCATGTGGCCCCCGGCTCCTCAGGGCGCCCAGGCTGCGTGGAGCTGGGGTGGGTTAGGTGAGGAGCACCATGCCATGCGGCCTCCTCATCCCAGCCTCTGCTCTGGGCCCTTCCACTGGCTGGTCGGTGAACGGACGGCTGGCTGCTTACCTCCTCCCTTCCATCCCCGGGACTGGTCACCCCGGTTGTGGATACAGTTTCCCATTCATAGCCCGGCCGTTAGCACCCACCTGCCCTCCTGTCTGCTCACCTAGAGCATGAGCCGGCGCTCCTGCTCCCTCGCCCTGGCTCAGGCTGCTCGTGGAGGGGGGCGGGGGGGGCGCCCACAGTGGGCTCTGCTCCCCCTGGCCACAGTTTCCTCCTGTAAATGGGGTGAGATGACGTGCTTCTAGCTATGGCCTTTAGATGGAAACTTGCCTCATCAAGCTTTAATCATTTGGGTTTTGTAGAAAGAATTTCCTCAGGCCTGGCCCGTGTGGCTCAGTGGTTGAGCATCAAATCATGAACCAGAAAGTCACTATTTAATTCCCAATCAGGGCACATTCCCAAGTTTTGGGCTCGATCCCCAGTAGGGGACATGCAGGAGGCGGTCAATCGATGATGATCCTCTCTCATCAGTGTTTCTATCTCTCTTTCCCTCTCCCTTCCTCTCTCTCTAAAAGTCAATAAAAACGTAAAAATAAAAAAAAATAGAACGTTCCCAGATACCTCCCCCCTCACAGTGGAGGGAAGAGAGGCAGTATTTTGAACTTTTAGAGCATACTCTGTTGAGTGATTAGTTTGTTTTTATGATAATGTGATATTATTTTACCCACTGAAACCAGTGGAATTTAAATCTTTGGCACAAGCTTAGAGTAAAACCCGCGTTCTTAGATATTTCTGATGGAACCCTCCCCCCTCCCCAATAGAAAGCATGTTGATTCTAGACCTAGGAATCTGACCAAAGAAAACACAATATCTGAAGCTACATCTTAAAGTGCTTATTTATAGCCCTGAAGACGGCGGGAGTATTGGAAGGTTCATCACTGGGCAATAGGTCAGGGAAATGTAGCTTGTTCCCTAAATAGAATAACGTCAATTAATTAAAAATGTTTACAAAGGTTGGCAAAATGAAAAAAAAAATGTTGACTTGGGGACAAAAGCATTTGTTTAAATTAGGGTAGGACAACTCATCTTTAAAATGTTTAGGGCCTTAACCGGTTTGGCTCAGTGGATAGAGCACCGGTCTGCAGACTGAAAGGTCCCAGGTTCGATTCCGGTCAAGGGCATGTACCTTGGTTGCGGGCACATCCCCAGTAGGAGGCGTGCAGGAGGCGGCTGATCGATGTTTCTCTCTCATCGATGTTTCTAACTATCTCTTTCCCTTCCTCTCTGTAAAAAAAAAAAAAAATCAATAAAATATATTTTAAGAAAATGCTTAGGGAGAAAGTCTGGAAGAAAGCAGAGACCCAATGCTTAATGCTATTTTTCATAATTTCTGCAGTGCAGTGTTTCCTCTTCATACCAGACCGTCCTCTGAAAACCTGTCTCCCTTTTCCTCCCCCAGTCAAGCCTCCGCATCTCCTCCCCTCTGCCCTTCCTGTCTCTGACAGGGGGTGGCCCCAGAGATTCCTTAAAGATGGGGGTTGGGTCCCAGATGGACCCAGAGCAAGCTGCTCTCGCTGCTGCCGCTGCCGCCGCTGCCGCCGCCATCACCCCCTCCCCAACCAGTGCGTCGAAGAGATGGCCCGGAGCTTCCGTGTGGCCTTCCTGGGACCTCCTGGAGGCCCCCAAAGACCCCTTCAACATCGAGAGAGAGGCCCGGCTGCACCGGCAGGCGGCAGGTGAGTGCGGGCCTGGGCCCCGCAGGGACCTGACTGCAGGAGGACTTGGCTGCCCTGCCGTGAAGTCCCGGATCTGCAGATCATGGTCTGTCCTCTGGAGTAGGTGCTGAGGGGACAGGCAGGGTTCTGCCACACTGGCAGTCGGGAAGGGACAGTGACCTGTGTGATCAGTGGGTCCCTCTCACCCGTGTTTCTTCTCCCTGGAGACTGACCGTGCACAGCCGTCCCTGTGTATCCTCTCACGGGACACCCCCCTTCCCCCCCGGGCGTGGTGCTCAGGGCTTCATCTCCCTTCCCCTTCCTAACTCAGAGGCAGGGCTTTCTTCCCCGAGGCTTTCTGATGGGGAAACTGGAGGACACTGGGGTGGGCAGCCTCTAAGGTAAGGGGTGTCCCCAGGTGTCCTGGTCTCCACAGACCTCGGCTCCGTCCTTGACCTGAGCTGAAATACACACTGCATCTGGGCATCATCTCCCGCCTGTACCCAGAGGTCACACAGTCGATGTTTACAGAAGTCACACAGTCAGTGTTTACAGAAGTCGCACAGTCAGTGTTTACAGAAGTCGCACAGTCAGTGTTTACGAGGCGTCAGGCGCCCACCAACCCTGGTTCAGAGGTGCTGAGCTGCTGACGGGGCTGGCGTTCAGTGTCTCCCTTTCCTGCGTTTCCGGAGGCGGCAGTGTGTCTGACTTCCTGCTCACAGAGCTGGGCCTGCTCTCCTCCCAGTAGTGCCGCTGCCCTGTCTGCTTTGAAGTCTCTGCCGCCTGTCTTTGCTCTTTCTCCAATGCCACTGTTTCCTACGCAGGGATGGTCCCATGTGTTTGGACATGGCCGTTCTAGCGAGTTCTGTTACTCACACACCATTGCTGACGGTTGCCCGTTTCTTGCTGGCATGTCCGGCCTGGGCCTTGAGGGAATGGCTTCATGTCATGTCATCGCCCGGGTGGGCAGGAGGCTTGGTTTCCTTGGTGCTCTGGCAGGGAGTGCGGCGGGCAAGGCCTGGCCACGCTCTCAAGGTCACTCCCTGATCCGGAACAGCACAGACTGAGTGGGAACAGCATTAAAGACTGCTAGAAGGCCGAGTGGGTGACCAAGAACGGAGCCCCCAGGAGCTGTAGGGCGAACAGAAGAGCAGCCAAGCCGCATGGAGTCGGAGTCAGACATGTCACCGCGGGCTGGGACAGGCTGTGGCTGGCATCCCTTGGATGCTGAGGGGCTGGGTCCATAGTTTAAGGAAGGCCCGGTGTTTGTTGGGGTGTCACACAGATAGCTTTGGGGGGCAGAGGGAGGAGACCAGTCTGGCTTGGGAACGGCTGGGACTCTGGTCTTGTAGGGCTGCTAGTGGGGGGCTTCCTGGCAGGGTCCGGACTCCGTGATGGGTGAGGTCAGGGCAAAGGCAGGGGAAGGAGAGGAAGACATTTCCTGTGTGGACGTGTGGGGATCAGGCCCATGGGGACAGCCAGCCTCTGGGATCTCGTACACAGAATGGTTCTGTTCACATGCAGGTCATCATTCTACTTTAATGAGCATTGTGAGCAGCGACTACACAGAACTGCTTTGTGGTTAAGTTACCAGTTACCCGTTTGAAAACATCTTGGGCTGTGACCGTTTTTTACCTACACATTCCTCCGTTTTCGTGGAGGCAGAATCCGTGCCCAGAGCCGGGCTGACATGGTGAGGGGTCAGTTTTCCCGCCCTCTCCCGGCTATGGGCCCGGGCCTTTTAGGGAACGGCTTCATGTCATGTCCTCGTCCGAGTGGACGTGAGGAGGCTTGGTTTCCTTGGCACAGGCCTGGCTGCACCTGGGGCCTGTCCAGCTCTTCCTGGACCCCTTCACCCCAGGGCAGGGCAGGGCAGGGATTCTCTGACCCCCGCTTTCCTCTCTCTCCCACCAAAGCTATGAATGAAGCTACCTGTACCTGGAGCGGCCAGCTTCCACCACGGAACTATAAGAACCCTGTCTACTGCTGCAAAGTGTTCCTGGGAGGCGTCCCCTGGGACATTACGGAAGGTGAGCAGCCTCCAGCCGCCTGCGTCAGGGGCATGGCGCTGGGGTGACCTCTGAACTCAGGGCGCTCCGAGGGAGGGGTTCTGGTTGGTACTTGCCCTGCCCCTGAGACCAGGGTCCTCTCAGGATTGTTTGTGGGGCCGGATGAGCCTGGGAGAGCCGGGCCCCCTGGGAGAGGGTGTGCCTCAGCCCACCACTCTCTCTTCTCTCTCTCCGCAGCTGGATTGATTAACACCTTCCGTGTGTTTGGCTCTCTGAGCGTGGAGTGGCCCGGTAAGGATGGCAAGCACCCCCGGTGTCCTCCCAAAGGTAATATGCCTAAAGGTAATAACAGACATGGTAGGCGCTTTTTCTTTCCTCCCCGGCACATACTTGCACTGAGGGGTGCTGGGATGTCACTGCTGCATGCTGGGACCGCGGTGTAGGCACCGGGAGCACACAGCTTTCCGCCGTCAGCACTGCTCCCCAACTGGCACGGTCACCCCTCTGTCCTCCTGAGCTAACGGTCCGTCTGTCCGAACTGACCTGCAGTGGGAGCTGCCTCCGACACCCCCGTGTGACACTTCCCGTGCCCTCCCCCACCTGGCTCCAGCCGCTTCCCTCTCAGAGCAGGGCATTCGCAAGCCACCACCCCCTCCCCCCATTGCCTACCCCCCTCCCTGCCCCGTTATGTTGTCGCCGCCGACCTCATTCTGAGCTCCCTTTGGGGTTGGCAGGAATGAGGCCCGCCCGAGCCTACGGTCCCTCGCTGGTCTGAAATGAGATCCCTTCCCTGTAGAAAGGAGCAGGTGCTATTTTCACCCTCCCCGTCTCCACTGGCTACGCCCCTGGGGCCTGGACCAGTGGTAACTGGGCTTCTAGAGCAGCCCCCTCCCGCCTGAGAGGCAGGCTGCAGCCCTGCCCCCGCTCCCCCAGCTCCCCCGGCCGGGAACACGTGCTCCGGTCGGTCGGACTAAGGGCTGTGTTGTATGACACGCCCCGTCCAGCTCAGGTCTGGAGGTCCCCGCCACCACCCCCTCTCCCGCCGGCCTGGGCTCAGGCAGAGCAAGGGGCTCCTGTCAACAAGACTCCCCAGGAGCAGGACGCAGTTGTGTCGTACGCACAAGGCCACCTCTCCTGGGACCGAGAGCTGCAGAACCGAGGCCGAGGAGGAGCTGAGGGGTGCCAAACCCTTTCTTTCCTCTCGGGAGCAGGGTACGTGTACCTGGTGTTCGAAGTGGAGAAGTCGGTCCGGGCCTTGCTGCAGGCTTGCTCGCACGACCCGCTGAGCCCGGACGGCCTGAGCGAGTACTACTTCAAGATGTCCAGCCGCAGGATGCGCTGCAAGGAGGTGAGCAAGCACTGCAGCCTCTCGGGGCCGGTTTCCCTGGGCCGGGAGGACACGGCTGAGGCAAGAAGCTCCTCCTGCCTCACAGCAGAGACAGCAAAACACTCCCCATTCCATTAAAAAAAAAAAAAAAGAAAGAAAGAAAGAAAGTGACCTTTGGGTCTTCCTGGTATGTGTGTCTCCTGCCCATGGAGGTCAAACCGACTCCCGGCCACCTTCCGACCGTGGTGGGTAAGTCTGCAGCCCACACCCACCGGGGCCCCTGCTTCTCTCCTGCCCTTTGCTAGCGTGGGGCTCCCCCCCATGGGGATCTCTCTTCTCACTCCCTTTCTGGATCAGCCTGCATCGGTATGGGGGGAGCTCAGGGATCTCCTCCTCAGCCGAGCTCCCCAAGTGGCTCTAGCAGGTGGACAGTGTTTGAGAAACAGACTTTGAAAACAGCACTGGTTCCTGAACGCCCTTTAGGTCACGAGGGCCCATCATGACCTCACATATCTCCAAGGGGGCTGTTGAGCTTAGGGACCAGTCGGCTGTTATTAAAATTCTGGTTCCAGGACATGTCCCTGTTGTGACATTGGACTCGATGTTTAGCATCTCTGAAACATTGGAAGGGACCAGGCCTGTAAGGGAGGGCAGGTAGGGATGACCAAGCCGGCAGAGGAGGAAAGTTAGGGAGGTACCCAGGCCTGCAGGGAAGGGCAGTTGGGGGTGACCAGGCCTGCAGGAGAGGGTAGTTAGGGGCAATCAGGAAGGCAGGCAGGCGAGTGGTTGGTAGCCAACAATCCTGGATCGTGAGAGGGATGTCCGACTGCCCTAAATTGAGGGGTCCCAGATTGGAGAGGGTGCATGCAGGCAGCGCTGAGGGACACAGCCCCCCTCCCCTGAGCATGAATTTTGTGCACCGGGCCTCTACTATGTATACATTCTAAAGAAAAAAAGGCATTCACGAAGCTGGCTCTTTTTTTTTTTTTTTTTTAATAGCTGTTTCCTGGTGTCCAGTCACGTTTTTGTCTTAGTCGCAGGGCAGGTTCATCCTCTGGCTGCCCTCAGTGACCCAGAGCGCCCCCTCCTCTCTGTTCTCCCCGCCGGGGCGCCCATGCAGTGACCCCCTGTTGTATGTAGGACGTGGGGAGCATGCTCCTCTGCCAGTCCTGTTTCCCAGGGGCAGGCCACGGAGCCGGGCCCCTCCGCCCCCTCTGTGCCCTGCCACTTCCATCCTGTCCCTCCTTCCCTCGCTGCCCTGCAGTGACTGAGCCCCGTCTGGGTGCGCTGACCGTGGGCTGCCCTGTCCTCTGCCTCTTCTACTGCCTTCAGGTCCCTTCCCGCCCCCGTGTGGTCAGCCTCTAACTCCCTCCTCTCTCCTTTCCGGGTCAGATTCATGACTCACCTTGGGGTTCTGCTCTTACCTTCAGACTCAGTACCTTCACTCACGCTCCAGGCTCCTGCCTGCCTGGCCCGCCTCCCCGGGCCTTCCTTCGGGAATGTCCTGTGGTCCTCGGCGTCTGTTTAGTGTAAGAAAAAGCGTGGAGAGCCCTGTGGCCCTGGGCATGTGGACCAAGCTGGTGGCACCTCCCATGGGGTGGGCTTTTGCACCTCCAGTGGAGTTGGCTCTGGGTAACTTCTCCCAGGCCCTCTCTTCCAGGCCTGGACCCTGGCCAGGCTCCTCCTGGCAGTCCCACACGCCCAGCCCCGGGCTCTGTGGCGGGTCTCCTAGGCGTGGCTGCCCGTGCCCGTGCTCCCGGTGCCCGGGCCCCTGCAGGCCTGCCTCTCCGTCCTCTGAGCCTCCTTCGCTTCTGCCTCTGGCTGGTTTCCGCCTCATCTCTTCCTGCTCCGAGACAGCCTTTTAGATCCTCACACATTAATCTTCCCGAACACTGGAGTCTGCACTTCACTGCGGCTCTCTGCCCGCCCTGCCAGGCTGTGTCCGAGGCAGAGGCGTGGTCAGCTCCTGCCCACGGCGCTGGCACCGGGGCCAGGAGCCATCGCATACCTTAAGCGCCCCAGCCTCTGCCTCCCGCTCCTGTCCTTGAGTCTCCCTGTGAACCCTTTCTGCTCCGGGGACCACAGCCCTCTGTTGGACCACACGGGTGGCGGTTTGGTTCTGCTCCGCTTGCTCCCCAGGATGAGCGGCTGCCCTTGGGCCTCGTGCTGTTGCATTTGGACACACGGGCTCTGTGACCGTCGGCGCTGGCTGGGCTGCGAGAGGGAGGCTGGGTGCCTCACGCCCGGTCCAGCAAGGCCAGAGGCCGTGCCCCCCCCCTCCTCCCCCGCAGGAGCCGGCCCGGATCCCCGCCAGCATGACATCCCTCTGCGTGCTCTTCCAGGTGCAGGTGATCCCCTGGGTTCTGGCTGACAGCAACTTCCTGCGGAACCCGTCCCACAGACTGGACCCCCGCAGGACGGTGTTCGTGGGCGCCCTGCACGGGATGCTCAACGCCGAGGCCCTGGCGGCCATCCTCAACGACCTGTTCGGAGGCGTGGTGTACGCGGGGATCGACACCGATAAGCACAAGTACCCCATCGGTGAGTGCCCGCTTCCGGGCGGGGAGGCGTGCGGCCCCGGGAGGTCTCCCAGGATCCTGATCCTTCCCGTGGGAGCGAGAGCGAGGCCTGGCCCGGGGCTGCCTGCCGACAGACGCGTCCCAGCAGCAGAGCGCCTTTCTCTAACTGAGCACCCTCTGAACCCACCCTCCCCCGCCTCCCCCACCCCTCGTGAAGGGGGAAACACAGAGACAGGGACCTAGGAGGTGAAAATGGGAGAAGAGTATGGGTGGGACGCTCAGAGCCAAACGGTTTGGGACAGACAACAGGTCCTGTGTCACTAAGAGGCCAGCTCTTTCCTGGACTCCCAGGCTTCCTTTATTAAGTGGTCCTGGGCAGGGGCAGGGCCCAGAGGGAGAACGGCGGGTGACCCCAGCGCAGGCAGGTCACCTCCAGACGCTGCACAGGAATCTCGGGGGCCGGTTGGGGGTGGAGCAGAGCCTGAACTTGGTGATGGGGACATGGCTGACCCTCTCCCCACAGCCTGGTCGGGAGGGAGCCGTGTGCATTGGGGCCACCCGTGCCACACCCCAGACAGAGCGGCCGCCTGCGGTGCCAGCGGAAGGGGGGCCTTGGCAGGACAAGGCTCTCCCTGCTCCCTGCCTGGTCTCGGGGACCTCGGACGAGGGCGTGGCCGTGGGCCCACCTTCAGGAGGGGCTCTCGCTGAATCCTAGCCTCGCTCCGAGCCCTGTGGTCTTCCCTGTGCCCTGCCCACACCAGAGGGCACTCCCTCCCGGGCCCGTGTTCCTGTGGGGCTGGTGCCTTGTGGTCTGAACTAGCCACCCACTGACGGTGGCTGCTAGTGCCACACTTTAGAACGATAAGGTTCTGTGTATATGGGGCTAAATAAAATATAATAGTTAATTCCACCAACCCCCCACTTAAAATTACATCAGTCGCTCACAACTCATTTCCACTGGACATCACTGGCCTAGAAACAGGGTTTCCTGAGTGTTGACAAGTGACATTTGGGAGAATTTGGCTAAGTTATCGGCTTAAAAGTTAGCCTGCTGTCATGGGTCAAACAGTTAACTCACCCAGTGCCTGGGCGGGCCAGACCCCATGGCTTCTCTGGCTGCACAGCCTGGGGGCCGGGCGTTCCCGCCATCAGAGGGGGGCATTTGTTCTGCTGTTCCCACCACAGGCTCCGGGCGCGTGACCTTCAGCAATCAGCGCAGTTACCTGAAGGCCGTCAGTGCTGCCTTTGTGGAGATCAAAACCACCAAGTTCACCAAGAAGGTGAGGGCTGCCCTGTCCCTTCCTCCGGGCGGGTACCTCCGGGCCGCTGAGACGGAGCCGTCCCTGGGCCAGGTGTGCCCGGGGACTCACGGGGTTCAGGTCCGGGGGTGAGGGGGGGGAGCCTGGCCCTGGTGACCGAGGAGAGGGGGCTGTGGCTGCTGGGGGGCCTTCCCTGGCTGGGCTACTGGGCGGCATTGCTGGAGCCTGACTTTCTTCTCCTGACCCGTGTCCTCCTGATCTGGGTGGGAGACGGGGGGCGCAGTGTGCTGGGGACCAGGCAGGAATGTGTGTGGTCCCCCACACTGCAGAGGCTGCCAGCCCGGCCCTGCGTGGGGAGCTCCCCTGCCCCCTGGGGTCTCCACACTCCGCCCCTTTCACCCAGGAAGTGCCCTGCATTCACACAGCGCCCCGTGGTGAACCCTCCCTCCCAGCAACTTCCTTCTCCCGTCTCGCTCTGTGCAGGTTCAGATCGACCCCTACCTGGAGGACGCTCTGTGCCACTTCTGCAACTCTCAGCCAGGCCCTTTCTTCTGTCGAGATCAGGTGCGTCCCCTGGGCCCCAGGGGTGTCTAGGAAGTCCCCCCTTAGTAAAAACGGCCTCACCAGGTTCTCACAGAGAGTGTTGGGGTGTCTGAGCACAGAGGAGGCGCTGGTGGTCAGGCCAGGGGCACACTAGGATGGTTTGACCCACAACTCTTGGGCAAGCTCTCAAGTTCAAGTTCTCCTTTCACCCGATGTCGGCTGGCGCGTGGCCTGCCGCTGGTCATCGCGGGTGCTGAGGGTGACAGGAGCCTGGGGGGGCCGTCAGTTCTCAGGCCTTCGAGGCTGCTGTTCCCCCACTCAGGGACCCCTCGGGTGTTTGTCCCCGGTCTGTACCCCCAGGGGTCAGACACAGGCAGACGGCAGCACAGCCGCTTCTCGTGGACGGTTTCTGGGGGGCGGTGCACACATCTGGGATGTTTTTCAGCAGAAATGCTTCTCACACTTGAATGTGTGTGCACATGGTTTGAGGACCTTGTCTAAATGCAGATTGTGACTCGGCGGGTTTGGGGTGGGGCCCGAGACCCCCCGTTTCTGCCCAGCGTCCCGGCGGTGCCCGGGCAGCTGGTCCGCGATGTTCTGGTGGGAGCTGGGGGCCTGGCCGGGCGTCTGCTCCAGTGTCTACAGTGGCCGCTCAGGCTCGGAGCCCCTGGCGGACAGACGGAGGTTAAACCACGGCTCCCTGAAGAGGGTGTGCAGTGCCTTGGACTGAGGATGCGCATCTCTCTGATCAGCCTCCATTGCGGGTTTTGGGGGGAGGGGGCCCTCCATTTTTAGGTAGTTGCTCTGAGGTCAGAGGTTTGTCAGAGGTTACACAGCCCAGAGCAGGAGGTGGGACAGAGCCCAGGGTGCAGTCCTCTGCCCTCACGTGGCTGAAGAAGCATTTCCTTTACACTGGGACCTGGGGTCACTGTCTTCAGAGGTCCCTGCACATGGGCAGCCTGCAGGGAGCAGGGTGAGGGGTGAGGGGTGAGGGAAGCCGGACACAGTGGGAGGCCTGAGTGTTGGATGGAGTCAGGGCAGCCGCAGGAACATAGCAGGTGTCCCGGGTCGATCAGGCCCGTGTTAGGGGTTCCAGGTTCCCCGAGACCCTCCCTCCCAGCACCACGGGGGCCCGGGTCTCCCCATTCCTGACACCGGAGAGCCCGCCCCTTTCTCCCCGCAGGTGTGCTTCAAGTACTTCTGCCGGACCTGCTGGCACTGGCGGCACAGCGCGGAGGGCCTGCGCCACCACAGCCCGCTGATGCGCAACCAGAAGAACCGCGACGCCAGCTAGAGGCGCGGCCGTGCCTGGCGGCCGGGGCGCCGGCTGCCCGCGGACCAGGGAAGACCGCAGTCACCTTTGCACTCGCTGCGTCTGTCTTTGTTTCTGCACTAATTACTGCACAATGAGTTCTGTCCAGTTTGTTCTCAGGGGCGGGGCCGGGGCAAGGACCCCCCGGCCCACCCTCCCAGTGACTGTAGTTTTCCCAGATTTTAGTTCTTCCTTTTGCCGATGAAAAAGCAAAAAAAAAAAAAAAAAAAAGAATGAACGTGTCCGGAAGGTAGCGACACGATGCCTACATCGAGGTTTATTTATTAAAAGCGCTTTTTTTGTTGTTGTTTTTTTACATTCCTCGCAATACTGATGGTGGTGATGCGCAGGTCTCGTCGGTGTTTCATCCTTGCAGTTGCCATACAGTGCCTTTCCATTGATTTCCCCCCACTGAACGGCATAAACTGAGTGTTCAGCTGGCGTTTTTTACTGTAAACCACAAGGAGACTTTGCTCTTCATTTAAACCAAAATCATATCTCCTATTTTACGCTCAAGGGTTTTTACCGGTTCGTTTTTACACTCCTTTAAGATAGTTTTTTAAGTCATTTGGAGCCAAGAGTAGTAGTTGTTTTTTTTTTTTCTTTTTTAACTTTATGTTTTCTTTCCTGGCAGCTCTTAACGTGATAGCGGATTTGTGTCTGGGGAACTGCCGGTCACCGTTTCTCACGGTTGTGAATGAAGAGGGAAAAGAAAAAAGAGATGTTTTTGAATTGCAAACTGGACCGGGTGAAAAGGTGTTTGAGCAGCTGCTGTATATAGGTTATCGCACCTTCTCTAAGTTGCACTTATTGCGGGGGGAGGGTTGATAGGCGTTTTTAATCACAAAAGTCACAAGACTTCTTTCTTTTTTTTGTAACCGAGCTACAAAGGGCTGCTTTTCGGTGGGGGCAGAAGCAGGCTCACAGGAGCCCTTTCTCTCAGAGGGGACAAGCACCGTCTTCCTCGTTTTCTTTGGTTTGAGAAATGGACGGAGCAACCGTTTGCGGTGGGTGGAAATGCTACTGAGATTTGAAAACTTGACTTTTTTCTTCTTTTTTTTTTTCTTTTTTTTAAAAAATCGACTTGCCCCTCTTTGGGAAGCTGTGTGCCAAAGAACCAGTGTCTCCCCCCCCTCCTCCCCCCCACCCCCCGCTGAGCTGACCTTGACCTTGCCTTGCTGCCTATCCCAGCTACTCTGTGGGTTTCGTGAAGCTGTGTGTGGAGTCTCTACCTCATTGTAGTATATGCAGGCAAGACTGCACTGTCCTCCAGACGTGTGGAGTCAGCTGTGGTGGTGTGTTTTTTTTTTTTGGCACATAATAATAAACACGTTGCAGCAGACTCCGGTTCGTTCTTGTCTCTTGTCTCGGTGACGGAGGGGCGGGGTGAGGGGGCAGTGGGGGAGTAAGATCTCAGAGTGAAACACTCACGTTTCCGCCCTGGCCGGTGTGGCTCAGTGGATAGAGTGTCGGCCTGCGGACTCGAGGGTTCCAGGTTCGATTCCGGCCAAGGGCATGGACCTTGGTTGTGGCCACATCCCCAGTGGGAAGTGTGCAGGGGGCGGCTGATAGATGCTTCTCTTTCATCAATGTTTCTAAGTTTCTATTCCTCTCCCCTTCTCTCTGTAAAAAAAAAAAATCAATTAAAAAAAAACAAAAAAACTCACATTCCCGCCCTGGCCGATTTGGCTCAGTGGATAGAGTGTCAGCCTGAGGACTTAAGGGACCCAGGTTCGATTCCGGCCAAGGGCACATGCCTGGGTTGTGGGCTTGATCCCCAAAGGGGGTGTGTGCAGGGCAGCCAGTCATTGTTTCTCTCTCATCATTGATGTTTCTATATATCTCTCTCTCCCTTTCCCTCTCCCTTCCGCTCTGAAATGAATAAACAACAACAACAAAGCATTTCCTCTGATTTTCGGGGATGAGTTTCCAGCCCAGGTGGATGGTGGGACCAGGTGGGGGGCCTGCCCCTTTAAGTACTCTTGGTCACTTCTGTGGTCAAGGGCACCATGGAGGTGCCTCTCTGGCCGGTGGGTACCACGGGGCCACGTGTGAAAAGCTGCTAGGGCTTCTCTCTCTCAGCCACACACCCAGCTAGGAGGACCTGGGACACAGCTGCTGGGCAGCTTTTTGTCTCACTTTGCCTTGAGCCCGTGTCCTCCTCTGTCGGAGGGCCCTGTCACCAGCCCCTGTCCTCGCAGACTCCCGGATCTGAGAGGGCCTGCCGATTGCGTCAGGTAGACCGTGCCGGGCCCGTGTGCCGGGCTGGTCCTTGGGAAGGTTGCCTTCTAGTTTGAGGCGCAGGAACCCTCTACCCTCTGAAGGAGCGGCCCTCCCGCGGCAGGTGCAAGAGCCCACTCGAGGCCTGGATGGCAGCGGCTCGGTTTGAAGTTTGCTGGCAAAATAAGTTCCTGCAACTCTCGGAGGGAGTCTGCCTCTCCCCTGCCCATCTGTATATCGATTTCAGAGAGGGAGAGGGAGGTGGAAACATCAAGGAAGAGAGAGAGTGACTGATCCTATGGCTGCTGCATGCACACCCTCCACTGGGGGTCAAGCCCACAACTGGGGCGTGTTCATAGGTCAGCGCTCTAGCCACTGGGCCACACCGGCCAGGCTTTATTCCCCTCCACAGAGAGGGATTCCTGACCTACAGCCTTCCATTCAGCGTGGCTGCACTGACCAAGGTGATGGGTAGAGGAGTTGAGGAATGAGGCACAGCGTTGTGCCCCATAACTTTTTTTTTTTTTTTGTCACATAATAAACACGTTGCAGCCGAGACCAGTTTGGCTCAGTGGATAGAGCGTCGGCCTGCAGACTGAAGGGTCCCAGGTTCGATTCCGGTCAAGGGCATGTACCTTGGTTGCGGGCACATCCCCAGTAGGAGTTGTGCAGGAGGCAGCTGATCGATGTTTCTCATTGATGTTTCTATGCCTCTCCCTCTCTGTAAAAAAATCAATAAAATATACTTTAAAAAAACAAACACGTTGCATGGACTCCTGTTCTTGGGCCTAGGCTAATAAGGTCGGCAGGGCGGCCTGCGCTGGCGTTTAGAGGGCCTGGTTTCGGGATGGCTATGGCAGAAACAGCCTGAAGTCGGTGGTAGTTGGAGGAGGTGACTCAGTTGTCGGGAGCATTGCAGGTGAGCTGGGCCCTTGGCTTACATATCCGAGAGCTTGCTTTATGCCGGGCACTGTTGCAGGCACAGGGAGCAGCTACACTAGGGGTGTCGAACTCAATCAGAGAAGGGGCCAAAATCTAAAATCCAGCCTAATCTCGAGCCGAATGGTTTACTGAACAGTCATAAACTGTCATTGTGATGGAAACGCAGCGGAGTGCAGTGATGACAGTGCGGTGCGGGCCACATTGCAAGGCCTGGCGGGACGGATTTGGCCCGAGGGCCTTGTGTTTGACACATGTGGGCTACACCAAAGGGCCCTGGCGGCCAAGGAGCTCGCCCCTGATGCAGCAGACATCGTTGTGACAATGGTAAGAAACATGAGCGCAGCTTTAAGGGGATGGACAGTGATGCTACCGTGTTTCCCTGAAAATAAGACATCCTCCGAAAATAAGACCTAGCGCATGGAAAGATAAAGACATCCCCTGAAAATAAGACCTAGCCGAAACCTGTTTGGCTCTGGATATAGAGCGTCTGCCTGCGGACTGAAAGGTCCCGGGTTCAATTCTGGTCAAGGGCATGTACCTTAGTTGGGGCACATCCCCAGTGGGAGGTGTGCAAGAGGCACCTGATCGATGTCTCATCGATGTTTCTATCCCTCTCTCACTTCCTCTCTGTGAAAAAAAATCAATAAAAATAAATAAATAAAAAGATAACCTTAAATGATTGTGTTTAAAAAAAAAAAAAAAAGGACCTAGCGCAACTTTGGGAGAAAAAATTAATATAAGACACTGTCTTATTTTGGGGGAAACAGGGTAAGTTGGAGGGAAAGCTCCTCCCGTAAGGGTGTTTGAGCAGAGAGGCTGGGGAAAATGAGATAAGCTGTGTCCCAGGTGTACCTGGCCCCCGACAGGCTGGCTGGACACATCGCTGACCGGTGGACCAGGTGGGGGTCCTGGGCAGGGCGCCCTCTATCCTTCGTCACCTTTCCAGGCCCTCGAATGGCTTCCCAAGGACTGCCTCCCTCCCTCCCCTCCTCGCCCTGGCCTGGAGCACCGCAAATAGGCGACCTGGTCCCAGAACCTGCGGCTCAGAGAAGCGAGCCCAAGGCTTCGCGGGGCGGGGCGGGGCGGGGCTGGGAAACCAGAGACCCGCCCGCCGGCGCCTGCCGCCTGCGCTCCCACCCCGCGCCGCCAGGGGGCGTCCGGCCTCCCGCGCCGGCTCCGCGTCCAGGGAGGGCGGAAGCGGCCGTCTAGCCGGCGCCTTATAGGCCTCTCTTGTGCTTCCTGTTTCCTCTTTCACCACCGGGGACCCGCCACCATGGTAGGTGCTCTGGGCCGAAGCTGTCATCTCCCGCAATCGTCCTCCATCCGCATCTTCCCGCGGCTTCTGAACCCGTGAGGCCGGGGCTTCCGCGGGCGGGTGGCTCCCGCGTCGGTCCCCGCGCCCCCGCTGCGCCCCTGCCCTCCTTCCTTCCCTCCCGGGTGCGGCCCCGGCCCCGGCCCGCGGACCCCGGCGGGGCGGCCGCGCTCCTGACCCGGTCTTCCCCCCCCCCCCCCCCCCCCGCAGGGCCGCGTTCGCACCAAGACTGTGAAGAAGGCGGCCCGGGTCATCATCGAGAAATACTACACGCGCCTGGGCAACGACTTCCACACCAACAAGCGCGTGTGCGAGGAGATCGCCATCATCCCCAGCAAGAAGCTCCGGAACAAGATCGCGGGGTGAGGGGGGCCGCCGGGGCCCGGCGGGAGGTTGGGGGCGCGGGGCCTGGATCTGTCCCGGGGAGACCCCTGGAATGGGGGACTGTGTCCTGGGGATTTCCCCCGCGCGAGCTCCCCCCGTCCCCGCCCCGACACCCCGGAGAAGGGCGCTCGCTGCGGGTGAGCGTTTGCAGGGAGCCCCCCAGTTGGGACCGTGCCGTGTTTGTGTCATCCCTGGCGGTGACACCTGGCCCGGGACAGGCTTCGGGGGGACTGAGTATTCATTGCGGTGCATTGGGAGGAGAGGAAATGAGGACCTGGGAAAGGGGGTCCCGGGAGTTTGGGGGGAGGATTTGATGCAGAATTGGATAGAGGGTGTGACAGGCGAGCAGGCGGGCGCTGTGTGTGTGTGTTGCTTTCGGAGTCGGGGGTCCTCTCTCCTCCCCACGGAGGAAGCGGGACTCAGCCTGCCGCTCGTGTGTGTGTGTGTGTGTGTGTCCGGATCGGGGTGCACGGGGTGTCCGTTCTCAGTGTGTGTCTGGGCGCCTGTGCCGCAGCTATGTCACGCACCTGATGAAGCGGATCCAGAGGGGCCCCGTGAGAGGCATCTCCATCAAGCTGCAGGAGGAGGAGAGGGAGAGGAGAGACAACTACGTGCCCGAGGTGAGTCCTTCTCTGGGCCTGGGCTGCTGCTGAGCCGCGAAGCAGGTGCCTGGCTTCTCTGGGGACCTCAGCTGAGCTGGAGAAGGAGGTCCTTTACCCAAAACCCTCACCCCAGCTGCGGGTGCCTGCAACCTGCCTGGCCTGGGTGTTAGTCTCTGTTCTGCCTTGTTGCAGGCATTTTTTTTGTGGGGGTGGGGGGTGGGGGTAAATTTTAAAATTTATTCCAGAGAGAGTGAGAGAGAAGCATCAACGATGAGAGAGAATCATTGATTGCTGCCTCCTGCACACCCCCCTCCTGGGGACCGAGTCTACAACCTCGGGCATGTGCCCTTGACTGGAATGGAACCCTGGATCCTTCCGTCCTCGGCCTGAAGCTCTATCCACTGAGCCACACCGGCCAGGGCTGTTGGGGCCATTTAAGCCCATCCTGGTTTTCACCTGAGAAGCCCTCCCGTCGTGTTTGCTTGCCTTGCCAGGGCTTGTGGTTTGGTTACTTACTTGCCTTAGCACAAAACTTCCCAAACCATGAACAGAGTCTTAAGGTTTCCCCGAAAACCAGTCAGAATAACGAAGGGCGCTCACAAAGGTGGATCCAGAAGTGATCTTTGGGGGTCTGTGATCCTTAAGCCGACTGCTCACCTAGTGGGGATCCTGTCTCCTTTGCAAGTTGCCCCTCTTTTTTGTTGCAAGAATTTGGGGGAAGGGGCTGGGAAGGTGAAAGAGAACTCACTGACAGGTGTTTGTCCCGGTTCTTGTTCCTCTAGGTCTCGGCCCTGGATCAGGAGATCATTGAGGTTGATCCTGACACAAAGGAAATGCTGAAGCTCTTGGTAAGCATGCGCGCCACCCCTGAGGTAGGGCTTCCAGTAGCATCCTCTGTCTGGAACAATTCCAGGTGTCTCTGCTTTCCATACGCCATGTTCTTCCTCCCACTTGCCCCCAGGGTTCCTTCCAGCTGGTCCTTTTTCGTTATGTGTGGGCTTTCATTTCTTTTTTTAAAAAAAATATCTTTATTGGCGAAAGTGTTACAAATGTCGCCTTTTGTCCCCCTCATTGGACTCCCCACCCCCATTTTATTCCTCCTTTGTCTGTATGCTGACCACTTGAGTGAGCTGTGGTCTCATTTCCAGATGCTTATTACGGGGGCACTACTTAGAGAGCTTAGCTGTCTTCAGTACTTGTTGATGAGTGTGTCTGCTGTGGCTGATCTTAGGACTTTTTACATAGCTGCTGATTGCTTAGGGCCTGCCATTTGTAAGGCGGCTGCCTCAGGCTGGTGCTGTGTGTGCCTAGAGAAATTATATGAAAAGGGAGATCCACATCTCCATTTCTACCCCAGGACATTTGGTAATGTCTGGACACCCTTTTTTATTTATTTATTTATTTTTTATTAAGTATATTTTATTGATTTTTTTTTAACGTAGAGGAAGGGTGAAGGATAGAGAGTAGAAACATCGATCAGCTGCCTCCTGCACACCCCACACTGGGAATGTGCCTGCAACCAAGGTACATGCCCTTGACTGGAATGGAACCTGGGGCTTCCTGAGTCCACAGGCCGACAATCTATCCACTAAGCCAAACTGGTTAGGGCTTTTTAAGGTCGTTTTATTGAGGAAGGGAGAATGAGAGAGCAATAGAAACAGTCAATGATGATAGCATCATCGATCAGCAGCCTCCTGCTCGCCCCACTGCTGGGGATCAAGCCCACAACCTGGGCATGTGCCCCGACCGGGTTCAAAGGTCAGTGCTTAACCACTGAGCCACACCGGCCGGGCCTGACACATTTTTTTCATTGTCTCAGCTGGGGGATCCGAGCAGACACTAGTGGCCAGAGAGAGGGCAGGGATGCTGCTAAGCATCTGACAGCACATGGGACGGTTTACTAGCAGCTTCCCGTTGGAGTGCAGGGTCCTTGAGGCCATTCTGGTGTGGGGAGGAGAAAGCCCTTTGTTGGGATTCTTCGAGGTCCCTCTGCCAGCTGGTAGAGGCTTGGCGGTGGTCCTGGAGCCACGACCACGGATCTCACTCAACCCGTTTTGTTGTTCCAGGACTTTGGCAGTCTGTCCAACCTGCAGGTCACTCAGCCCACAGTGGGGATGAATTTCAAAACACCGCGTGGAGCCGTTTGAATCTTTTGCTATGCTGTAATATTCTCAATAAACCTTGGACAACTTTGCCCGTGTGTGTGTGGGTTTGGGTGCTGGTGGAGCAAAGGCCAGGAGTTCCTTATCGAGAAAGGGGGAGCGCACTGGCTGTGTCCTGGGGGTCGGGGGCTCTGACCTCTGGGCAGGTGGATCTGCTGAGGCCGTGGGTCCCCCTGTGTGTGCGTGTCCCTCGAGCAGTGGGGAAGGAGCTGTTCAGTTGTGTGTTCTGCTGGTGCTGATATGATGTGTTCACGCTGTGCATGTGTGTGGTCTGCACAGAAGTGAGGGCTCAGGTGTGGCTGTCCATGGGGCCCCTGTACACCTGCTTCTGTGAGGCAGGTGCAGCAGACGTTCAAAAAATGCCTTGTAATTTCAAACTTGGAAGAATCTGTAAGAATAGTACGGAGGAGCTTCAAAATGTACCTAGATCTTCCAGTTGTTTACATTTTGCCCCAATTGCTTTATATTCTGTTATATGTACTTGTTTTTTCTGATTCTCAGGGTTCAGGAGAATGTGTGTATGCATAGACAGGTGCCCCCTTTTTATTGATTTCACAGACCGAGAGCTAGAAACATCAGTGATGAGAGAGACTGATCGACTGCCTCCTGGGCGCACCCCCCTCCCCCACTGGGGACCAAGCCCGAAACCTGGGCATGTGCCCTTGACCAGAATCAAACTTAGGACTCTTCAGTCCACAGGCTGACACTATCCACTGAGCCAAACCAGCCATGGCTACAGGTGCCCTTTGCATTTCAGAGTCGGGGAAATGATAGAAACATCAGTTGGCTGCCTCGAGTCTGCAGGCTGACACTATCCACGCAGCCAAACCGGTTTCGTCTGTGTTGTTTTTTTAAAAATATATCTTCATTGATTTCAGAGAGGAAGGGAGAGGGAGAGAGAAACATGATGAGAGAGAATCATTGACCAGCTGTCTCCCACAGGCCCTCCACTGGGAACAGCCCGCAACCCGGGCATATGCTCTTGACCAGAATCAAACCCGGGACCCTTCAGTCCACAGGCTGCCGCTCTATGCACTGAGCCAAACCCGCCAGGGCACAAAAGGATTTTTTGTTTGTCTTTTTTTAAAAAAGCCTCCCCACTCCCCTTAGGTTTTTGGTGTCCCTGGTGAGGAAAAGGCGGCCTTTTGGTGTAGATGACCAAAGAGCCAGGTGAACGAGATCAACCCTGAAACTGGCGATGCTGTTCGCCACGCTCGCCACCAGGGGGCAGTGCGGTCACACTAGCCGCCTCACCTGCGGGGCCGAGGCCTCGTGCACCGGAGATGTGGGCGGGGCGGGGCCGCTCTTTAACTTCTGATTGGACGCCGGCGCAGCCCCGCCCCCGAGGGCGGGCCTCGCGCACGTGCGGCGGTGGGCGGGGCCGGCGCAGGTGTCCGCACGCGCGCCGCGCGGGTGGGAGAGGCCGGGCGCGCTGGAGCCGCCTGACGGAGCTGCTTCGCCCTCCGGGTGTCGCCCCCCCAGGGGTCCCCCCAGTTTCCTCGGGCCCTGGGGACCCCCTCCCGGGGCTCCCGGCACAAAACGGACCGGAGGGCTCTCCGCCGGCGCCTGGGACTCCGGGACTCTGGGACTCCGCTCTGCCGAGGGGACTGCGCCTCAGGTCAGTGTTTTTGCTTGTTTTTTCCGTCTCCGGTTGTTTGTGTCACTTTTCAAAGCGGAATGACTCCGTTGGGTAGAAAGTGGGCACATTAAGCATTAAAATAAAATAAAAACAGCCAACGAGGGGGCTGAGGAAAACGGTCCGGGAAGCCGAGGGCGAGGGGGCGTGACGGGATGTGAGGGGAATGGACAAATGGACGGACACGAAGGGACTTCCGGTTGTGCTCGGGGCCGCTGCTGTTCCTCGTTGGCTTTTGGGGCGGGAAGGGGGTCGGGGGCGGGCGGTGGTCGCAGCGGTGAAAGGCCCGGAGCCCGGCCCCGCGGGGGGGGGGGGGGGGGGGCCCGGGGGCGCGGGCGGGTGGGCGCCAGGAGCTCCCGGGCCTCCGCGCCGCTCCCGCTGCTTCCGGCCGGGCGGGCTGCATCCCGCGGTCGCCAGGACCGAGTCTTCAATTTTGCATGAGCTGACACATCTCCACAACTCAAGAGTGTTTCCACCTGTCGCACAGGCTCTGGGAAAAAAAAAAAAAAAAAAAGAAAGTGTGGGCCGAAATCGGGTTGGCTCGGTGGATAGAGCGTCGGCTTGGGGACTGAAAGGTCCCGGGTTCGATTCCGGTCAAGGGCATGTGCATTGGCTGCGTGCACAATCCCCAGTGCGGGGTGTGCAAGAGGCAGCTGATCGATGACTCTCTCTCATCGATGTTTCTAACTCTCTATTCCTCTCTCTTCCTCTCTGTGAAAAATCAATAAAATATATTAAAATATATTAAAAATAAAAGAAAGTGTGTGGGGGATGCTCTGGCCGGTGTGGCTCAGTGGCTAGAGCGTCGGCTTGCGGACTGAAAGGTCCCAGGTTCGATTCCGGTCAAGGGCACGTACCTTGGTTGTGAGCACATCCCTAGCGGGGGGTGTGCAGGAGGCAGCTGATGGATGTTTCTCTCTCCTAGATGTTTCTAACTCTCTATCCCTCTCTCTTCCTCTCTGTAAAAAAGTCAATTAGCCGGGACCGGTTTGGCTCAGTGGGTAGAGCGTCGGCCTGCAGACTGAAAGGTCCCGGGTTCGATTCCAGTCAAGGGCATGTATTACCTTGGTTGCGGGCGCATCCCCAGTGGAGGGTGTGCAAGAGGCAGCTGATCGATGACTCTCTCTCATCGATGTTTCTAACTCTCTATTCCTCTCTCTTCCTCTCTGTGAAAAATCAATAAAATATATATTTTTTTAAAAGCAACAACTGTTGTTCTTTAAAAAAAAAAAGTCAATTAAAATAAAATATATTAAAATAAAAAGTGTGTGGGGGGAGCTGGGGTGGACTAAAAGGGGTCATTGTAGGGGGAGAGGAGACGTAGGGAATACGGGTAGGGGCAGAAATAGAATATTGAGGGTCAGCTATAATAGTAAGAAATATTCACCGTGCTCTGTTAACAGTGATTGTTTTGTTCTGATGAAAAAAGGCACATTCCGCCCTGGCTGGTTTGGCTCAGTGGATAGAGTATATCATCCTGCGGACTGAAGGGTCACGGGTTCGATTCAGCTCAAGGGCACATACCCGGGTTGTAGGCTTGATTTTCAGTGGGGGGTGGGAGGGTTGTGCAAGAGGCAGCCCATCAATGATTCTCTCATTGCTGTTTCTGTCTTTTTGAAATCGATAAAAATATATTTTTAAACAAAAGAAGTTTGAAGGTTTAAATAACAATATGATACACTCCCATGAATAAGTCAATAATGTAAATAGGGAGGTAAAGTTTAATAATAAAAAAAAGCCAAACTTTCATAAAAGTGTTGCAAGCCCTGGCTCAGTTGGTTGGAGCATTCATTGTCCTTTGCACCAGAAGCTCCCAGCTTTGGTTCCTGGTCAGGCACATACCCAGGTTTTATTTTATTCTCCCAGAGAGGAAGGGAGAGGGAGGAAGAGTTAAGACACATCAATGAGGGAGAAACACCAATCAGCTGCTTCCTGCACACACCCCACTGGGGATGTGCCCGCAACCAAGGTACATGCCCTTGACCGGAATCGAACCTGGGACCCCTGAGTCTGCAGGCCAACGCTCTATCCACTGAGCCAAATTGGTTGGGGTACATACCCAAGTTTTAGATGCCAGGTCAGGGCACCCCCCAGAGGCAAGCAATTTAGGATTAATTCTCTACTTCCCTCTTTCCCTCCTCTCTCTCTCAATAAACAATTTTTAAAAAGTCTTTTGTGTGATTTTTTATTTCTTTTTTTAATTATTGGGGCAGAGCGACATGATAAAAAAAAAGTGGGCTTTGAATGTTGTAAGGTATGAGCAGCTCATTCATTCCCTAACAGTGGAAAGCTGTTTACCAATGTTGAGTTAATTTCTCTGGGGAGAAAAAAAAAAATGCCCAGAGAAAATAAACTTATTTAAGGCAACTAGCCTTTGGATGAGAATGGTTGCTTGAAAAGTTGAGAACATTGAAAACAATACCGATAGTTAATTAAAAACAGGGCAAACCATTTTGAATAGTTTTCCTTGGCACTTGATCAGTTGTTTATCCAGGGCTCAATGCGAAGTTTGAAGATTAAAGAATTAGCCTCTGAATAGTCTGCGTAGAACCACTACAGGTGAGAATATTTTTAAAGGTGCGAAATCACTAATTTAGTGTAACCTTAAGTGGGGATTGGCAGAACTAATGTTACAGGAGGCAGCCAATTGGTGGTCCTCTCTCATCATTGATGTTTCTCTCTCCCTCTCCCTCTCTCTGAAATCAACAAAAATATATATTTTTTAAAAAGAAAACACCTAAATCTGTCAGTTATTGAACAGTACTGTTAAGAATGAATTTCACTTGCTCTTACAGATTTTACTAAAATTCATAGAACTGATGTTTTGTTGTAATCTGTTAGTTCTGTGTTTAATTTTTTGAATACATGCCATACCATTTTCCATTGCAGCTGTACTATTTTACATTTCTGTCGGCAATGCACAAGGGTTCCAGTTTTTCCACATAATTGTCAACAGTTATTATTTTCTGTTTGTTTTTTAAATAATCACTGTCTTTATGGGTGTGAAGTGGTATCTCATGTTTTGATTTGCTTTACCTTGGATGATTAATGATGTTGAGAATCTTTTAGTTCATTTACTGGCCCTGTGTATATCTTCTTTGGGGACATATCTGTTCAAATCCTTTGCTCATGTTTGAATTGGGTTGTTTGTGTTTTTGCTGTTGAATTATGGGAGTTCTTTGTATATTCTGGATATCAATTCTTTATCAGCTATGATTTGCAAATATTTTCTGCCATTCTGTGTGTTGCTTTTTAAAAATATGTATTGATTTCAGAGAGGAAGGGAGAGGGAGAGAGAGAGAAACATCAATGATGAGAGAGAATCATTGATTGGCTGCCTCCTGTACAGCCCCTGTTGGGAATGGAGCCTGCAACCCGGGCATGTGCCCTTGAC